AACAGGACCCCAGACCCTGAGGGGTCTTGTTTGCTGCCTGGAGTCTCCCAAGCAAGGGTCTGGCTGGTGCTGAGTCTCCCCAGGAGCCTCCGGAACTCCCAGAACCTGGGGGGGGGTCCTCTCTGCCCATATCAGGCCCCTCCCTTGGAGCATCAGCGGTCAGGGCTCCAGGATCGGGGGTCCCAAAGCCTGGGGCGGAAGCTGAAGCCCCAGCAAGGCTCAGGAACAGGGGCCCCCGCACCCCCACCTTCCCAAGACCCCAGCCAGGCCCAGAGGGGGAGGGGAGGGCAGGAGGGCGTCCCTGCTCCCCAGGGCCCCACAGGGAAGCGGACGGTGCCAACTGGCGTACGACTCCCCCATGCCCAAAGCAGACCCAGCCTCACGCAGACCCCACCCCAGGCAGGACCCCCATCCCGGCCCCCAGTGCCCCAGCCTCACCCGCAGGCTCCGGCCACAGCAGTCCCTGAGCCTCAGCTCCGGCTCCGTCTCTGGGCACGGAGGCCTTCGGCTCCTCCCTGCTGCCAGGTTGCCAGGGGACAGAGGCCACACCCGGGGGAAGCAGGTGCACCCCCCCAGCCCCACCTGGGCTCAGGAAACAAAGTCCAGAGGAGGCGGGAGAAAGCCCATACCCGGGCGGGGCAGAGGGCAGGCACCGTGCCCACTGCAGGCTGCCCCTCGGCCCCCAGGCCTCCAGCCCACGGGGCTGGAACTCGGCTGGGAACCTTCCTAGAGTGCCACTGCTGCCTGGCTCCCCCGCCACCTCCCAGCAACGCTCAGAGAGGGACATCGCTGGCCCAGGGTCACACAGCAGCTCTGAGCCCCCAGCTGCCTCTTTCCCCTGTCGGGGGCACTGAGTCCCAAGCCCCTGTGTGCCTTCTGGCCCAGGCCACCCCTGGGGCTGCTCCCCCAGGTGGACTCTCTCTCAGATAAGCTGGGCTTGCCAGACTCGGGGAGGGCTCGAATCCTACCTAACCCCTCTACGCCTCCTTCCCTCCTCCAGGAAATGGGGACAGCCCAGCAATGGCTCCCTCGGGCCTCTAGGAGAATTCCCTGGGCCACTTCCTGTAAAGGACCAGCCGAGACCACAAAGAGCACCAGAAAACACTGGCGGGATGGGTGACACCCCAGCCGCATTCAGAGATGGAGACACCAACCAGGGGGCTCCACTGTCTTACTGGATCCTTGTCCAAGGGACAGAGAGCCTGCCAGCGCCGTAGGTGGCCCTGGCCCCTCAGCCCAGCGCGGTTTACAGGGCTGGGGAACACAGTAGAGGAGGATTGGGCATCAGTCTCCCAGGCTGGGCTCTGTCCTGACCTGTCCCCTGGCTGGCAGTGGGGCCCCTCTGAGCGTCAGTCTCTTCTTCCAGTAAATGGGCCCCCCAGCTCCGAAACTTGCAGGGCTTCCCGGGTGGGTGGAGTTAAGGAATAACAGCAGGAGCGTATAACACTGTTGGGTGTGTCCAAACCCAGGTGTGCAGCCTGAAGGGCTCCTCCAGACACCCCTGCAAGTCTCTTTTTAAAAATTTTTTTTCCTTTTTGTCTTTTTTCGTGACCGGCAACAGATCGCAACCCTCAGTGTCGCGCCCGTACCGGACCGGGACCGGCAATGGGATCGCAACCCTCGGTGTTGTGCCCGCACCTCGCTCAGCCAGTGAGTGGCCGGTCTGTATGTGGGATCCGAACCCTCGGCAGGAGCATCGCCGCGCTCCCAAGCAGCGCACTGTAGCAGTGCGCCACCGGGCCGGCCCAGCCCTGCAAGTCTCTTGATCCCTGTTCAGCAGATATGGAAACTGAGGCACAGAAAGCTTAAAATCATGCCTAAAGGCACAGTGGTTGTTGGTAGGGCTCGGATTTGAGCCTCAGTTCTCTCCATCCCATGTACACCAACATCCTGTCTTCTATGGGGAAACTGAGGACCCAAAAGGACAGAGATGAGATCACCCGGTGTCCTGGGGGCACCGTGGAGGTAAGGACCCAACTGTACTGCTCCCAGACCACGGCTGGCCTCCCACTCGGAGTTCCTAAAGTGTCTTTTACAGATGGGGAAACCGAGGCCCAGAGGGGGCAGTGAGATCACAGAGAGATAGAACCAGGGGCGGGGACCCTTGCCTGGAGCTTGAAGGCAGCCCCATAAATGATTGCCCCTTAGGGCCCCCCATTTCTCAGACACTGATATCTGGGGGGGTGTCTGGGGGGACCCTTCCATCCCCGGGAACTTTGCAGCCAAAGAACAGGGTAGGGGCAGGTGCAGACCCAGGGGTTCCACAGGAAACAGAAAGCAGCTCTCCCCTTACCTCCAGGCCTTACCTACCCAGGTGCTGCCGACAGGTGCAGATGGCGGCTCACCAACGCCTCCCACTCCAGGCACCAGGGGTGAGCCCGAGGGGCGAGGGGACCGTGGCAGGCGGGAGAAGCCAGCTCACCTGGGCTCCCCTCGGCCTCCACTTTTATGGCTCAACCACCCAGCAGGGCCCCACCCTCAGGCCTGGCCATGCCCTCCCCGCCCAGGCGAAACCCAAGAACTCCAGGAACTGGGGCCGTTCACGCTGTTTATTTGTTTCTCTGGGAAAGTCAAGAACATTGGGGGCCTCGTCACACATCAAAAGCAGAAAGGGGCAGCAAGTGCACTTCAGCAGAGGCTCACGGCTGAGGGACTCGGGCAGGCTCGAGGGGAGGGCTTCCATGGCTGGCCACTGCCAGGTCACCCCCAGAGAGGGCCTCTCCTCCCAGCTGAGGGGCAGAGCTGAGACCGGGACCCAGGCCCCCATCTGAAGTGGCTCCCACACCCACCCCACTGAGGCTGTGGGTGGTGACTGTACCCAGAGGTGGCCTGGGCAAGGGGCACCAGGCTGGAGGCCCCTGGGGAAGGGGCCAGAATGGGGCCTGGTCGTCCAAAGCCAACACGTGAGGGTGTCCGTGAGAATGTGCACAAATGCGCCTCTGCGGGCGAGTGTGGCTGCCCCCAGGAGGGGAGCCTCTCACCACTTCCAGTGAGAGGGGGCCAGAGGGTAGGCTCACATTGGGCCAGGTGGCAAACAGGGGTCACCTGCTCCAACCTGGGGGAACCTCCCTGCCCGGGGCAGTGTTCCTCCCTCCACCACCCGGAAATGCTCCCAGCCCAGCAGAGCTGGCGGGTGGGGCCTGATTGCTGGGGTATGGTTGGGGGGCATCCAGGACCCTGGTCCAAGCAGGTTGGAGAAGAGGCTGGGTGGGGGACCCCTGTCCCTCTTTCCAGTGAGAGAAAACTCAGAAAGAACATGGTGGAACACGCATGTCCTTGAGCCCTGTGAGACTGTGGGTGGAAGGTGGGCAGATGCCGGGAGAGGCCGGGCCAGTGGGTGTCTGTGGTGCAGAGGGTGGGGGCCGGGGTCTTGGGGGGGCCGGGCCAGCTCACATGATCAAGCAGCATTTACAACGCTGCTTCTTCATGTCGAGGTCCTGGGAGTCGCTGGTGGTGGCCTCGGGCCCTGCCTGGTTCTCCTCCTTGTTACCCGAGGTGGCAGGTGGCTCGGCGGCACTGCCGTTGGGTGGCGCGGGCTCCTTGGGCTCGGCTGCATCTTCGATGACCACCAGCTCTGCTGTGATGGTGTCTTGGAGCCCCAGCACCTTCTTGGTTTCAGCCTCATCTTCCACGTTCTGGTAGCCCATGAAGATCATAGTTACTGGGGGCTCCTGGCCAGGCTGGATGCCCGGTGGGCCCGATGTGGCCTCACCTGGCTGTGCCTGCACTCCGGTGATCTCCCGCCGGGAAGGTGTGGTCCGGATGGCCTCCTCCACCACTCCCCGGGTCTCTGCGGCTGTGGCTGTGGACGCCGCCTCGCTCAGTGTGACCTCGTCTGCTTTGTGGATGAGTTCGTCCACCTCAGAGGAGCTCAGTGGGTGGATTCCATTCTCGGCAGTGCCGTCCACGGCATGGACCACTGCACAGGGAGAGATGGCGAGAGAGAGTGAGATGGCTCCCAGACAGGAGGGAAGGTGAGGCTGAAGAGGAAATCATAAACTAGACCGACAATGACAGCTCCCTGTGAGGATCTGCAGGTGCAGCCAATGAGGTACCCAGAGGAAAATTCACAGATGCAAAAGCATTCATCAGGAAGCAGGAAAGACCGAAATAAATGAGTTGGGATTTTATTGTCTTGCATTTGGAGGCATTTCTACATGCTTCAGCCAACTGGCTCTCATGCAGTCATCTTGAAAAATAGGTCTGTTTTCATTTTTTCCATGTAAAGATGGTTAAAAAAAAAAAGTTCAAAGAAGGGAAGCAGTTAACCTGAGGTCGCACAGCTGGCCAGGGCTAGACCCTGCTTTCTCCTGGTCTAGTCCTAAGAGAGAACCACCCACCTGCCCTAGTAACTGGAGGTGGAGAGTTACAGGGATTCTGATTTCTTCTCACTTTGGGTTTATGTGGTTGATCTTGAACCAAAATTTCATTCATTTTACCCAGTCTTTCTTTTTTCCTTGTAGATGCCCTGGAGGCTATACGTGTTCCTCTGAGTTCTGCTTTGGCTGCACCCCACAGGTTTCATTGTGTTGTACTCTTTCAACTGTAAATGGTTTATAATTCCCATTTTGGTTGACTGTCACTTTAAGCCAAGATTTATTTTGAAAGGTGTTTTTAAATTCTGGGGAGCAAGGGACTGTTGTCAAGGAAAACAGAGCATAACATAAACTTTGGCACAGTCTTTACCACCCCTTTTGCTGCCTAGGACATAAGTCATTTTCTAATAATGCCCTACCTGTGTTTGAAAAGAATGAGTATTCTCCACTGGGTAGAGTTTTATATGTACAATCAATCTCGTCAAGTGTTTTCCAAATCTCTCCAGTGTTACTCATCTACGTCTCTTTGATCTGCCTTTTCTGAGCTCTGTTGCAGTCTTTAAGGACCAGATTTCAGGACCCTGGCAGGAAGGAGTCCTGGACATGGTCTGACACCAGCCTGAGATCACAGCCCTGCCAACTCCTTGACACACAGCTGCCCAGACTGCTCAGGGAGGAGGGAGGGACGCACCTCCTCCTGGCCAAGGGTCAGGGCTCCTGCCCTGGATACCAGCCAGAAGGCTTTCCACCATCCATTTCCAACCCCCGGGAAAGGCTGTGCAGCTTCCAGGCCTCCTAGTGACTTTGGGTTGGAGGCCCTGACAGTGAGGTGTACCCAAGTCACACAAAATCAATCCAAGTGTTCTCCACTGGCCACTACCCCAAGATAAGAATCTGAGCTCAGGGCTGCCATGGAAACAGATCACCTTCCCATTGCTAAGCAACCAGAGTCCAGTCTGGCAGGTCCTAACTCCCCAGGGACTGGATGAAACCAGGAAAAGTGCGTGGAGTGGCCTACAGTGAGGATCTTTAGCAGATGCCCCAGGACACGCCCAGGGTCACAGCTGGAGAGAGCCAGAGCTGGGATTCAACGAGGTCTACACCCCAAAACCACCGCAGAGCTGGGATCCCGTGACAGGACCCCTTTCGTAGCATCCTGAACGTGCCAGAGGCCCAAGCTGCCTCTGAGAACATGAGACTTTCAAAATCAAAAACCTCGGGAGATGACTGTGCACACCGGCTGGGAAGGCAAGAGCAGTAATGGATGGTAAGTGCCAGCGAGGACACGGAGACACGGGGGCCTCGGCCACAGCTGGGAGAACGCCACGTGGGGCAGCCACTGCGGATAACAGTCCGCGTCACCACACGACCCAGAAATTTCATTCCTAAGTGTATACCCAAGAGAAATGAAGACACACGCCCACACGAACACTTGTCCAGCGTTACAAAGCCAAAAGGTGGAGGCGACCCACGTGTCCACCCACGGATGAAGGGACACACACAGCGTGGTCCGTCCACGTGTCCACCCACGGATGAAGGGACACACACAGCGTGGTCCGTCCACACGCCGGAGCATCACTCGGCCATGAACAGGAACGAGGCTCTGACACACGCTGCCACGTGGATGGACTCTGAACACGTCACACTCAGTGACAGACGCCAGACACAAAAGGCCACACAGTGTGTGACTCCATTTACATGAAATGTTCAGAGCAGGCCCATCCACAGACAGAAAGTGGATTTGTGGTTTCCAGGGGCTGGGGGTGGGATGGGAGTGACTGATGATGGGGACGGGGGTTCCTTTTGGGGTGTTGGAATGTTCTGGAATTAGTAGTGGTGGTTGCACAACATTGTGAATTTCCCAACATCTACTGAATCATATACTTTAAAAGGATGAATTTTATGGCATGTAAATTATACCTCAACCAAAAAAAAAAAAAGAGATTTTGGGGCTTTTGCCCAAGGTGACTCTGCTGCTGCTGGGTTCCCTGGCTTCCTTGTTGGCATCTCCCACAGCCTGTTCCCCTCCTGGCCACCAGAAGGAGCCCCTAAAACCAAGTCAGATCTCACCGCCCCAGCTCAGCCGACCCAGGGCTTCCCAAGGTCCTCAGGACACTGTCCCGCTCTTCCTCCTGCCTTAACCCAAAGTCCCTCCACCCACTCTGCAGCAGCCCTGGCTTGTCTCAGTTCCTCCAGCCCAGCAAACCCCACCCCTCCAGGGCCTTTGCACGTGCCACGGCCTCTGCCCAGGGCCTTGCTCCTCAGTGCCCAGCTTGGCTTCCAACGAGCTCCAGCTCACCGCCTCTGGGGAGCCTCCCCTGATCCCTCCCTGCCCTGCGAGATCCTCCTGGGGCCCCTCTTACATCTCTGGGTTTTTCTGGAACCTTTATCACAACAGTAAGTACTTAAGTGAATTACTTATGAGCTCTGGACGGAAGGACAGAGCTGGGATTGGACTCCCAGTGCCTGCTGCATGGTCCAGCTTCAGGCAGGTTCCTGGAGTGAATGCATGTTGGGGCCATAGGTCTGGGCTCTGACTGACCTCCAAGCCCAGACTGGGCTGTGGGGGAGGAGACCCCAGCCCTGAACAGCCTCCTCTGTATCAAACTGAATCGGGGTCTTGGATCTGCACCATGACCAGGGCTCTGGCTCAGGCCAGAGCAGGGCAGGGGCCGGGACGGGGGCTGGGGGGCTCGTACCTTTGGTCTCGTCCTCGTAGACTTTGATGCCCTGAGGGAGCAGCTCCCGAGGGAGCAGCGTGGTGCTGGACAGCACCCTGGTCTCCCCCGTGAGCTTGTCCTTCTCCACAGTGATCTCAACCGAGTACATGGCTGGCACGAGAGGCACGGGGTTACGTTGTGGCCCCCCCCCACGAGCCCCCCACCGGGCTGGGGCAAAGCCAGGGAGCAGGGAGCCGGCAGCACAAAGCCAAGCAGCAATGGGGGCCAGGCCGAGCCGGGAACACCAGGGGCACCAGGTCCACATGGCCCTCCCCAGCTCAACAACCTCCCAGAGCTCCCAAGTGCTGAGGGCACCTGGTCTGAACTTGGCTCGGCATTCGAGACCCATCCTGCCGTCCCACCCGAGGCTCCTCAGCCCTCCACCTTCTGCACACCATCCTCCGCTCGGCCACCAAGCTCTTGTCTCTAAAGTCCAGTTCCGTCCCAGCCCACCCGGAAAGTGCTCATTGCTCCCGGGTCCTCAGGGGAGGAGAGTGAGTCAGAGAGGTCCTGCCCCACCCAGGGTCACAGCCACCATCTCAACCCGAGTCTGCTGACCCCGTTCCCCAGCCCAATCCCTGTCCGGCCCCGGACCTCCCGGGCTGTCTGGGATTAGCGTCGTCTATTTCAACACAAGGAATAAATGAGATCTCAACCCGAGTCTGCTGACCCCGTTCCCCAGCCCAATCCCTGTCCCGCCCCGGACCTCCCGGGCTGTCTGGGATTAGCGTCGTCTATTTCAACACAAGGAATAAATGATTCCCAAGCCAGGACCCCGCTCCTGATCTCCCTGTACACCTGCCCCCCTGGGTCTCCCCAACCCAGCTGGGGACAGCTCTGTCCTCCTGTGTCTCTTTCTCCCACACTCTGAATCTGCAAATCCTTCGGGTTCCCTTTTTAGAACACCTGGAACCGGACACTGCTCCACCTTCTCCACGGCCCCCACCTGGACGGGGCTCCAGCTTCTGTCCCTGCATCTGTCCTGGTTTCCCGGCACCTCCCACCGTCTGTTCTCCCTGCAGCCTCCAGAGGGCGCCTGTGAGAAAAGGCGGGCGTGCCCTGCTCTGCCCACAGCCCTCCATGGCTCCCACCTCCCGCAGGGTAAAAGCCTCAGTCCTCCCCGTGGCCACAGGGCCCTGCACGACCTGCCCCGTCCCCTCCCTGTCTTCCCCTCCCCCTCTCTCCCCCTCGCTCACTCTGCTCCAGCCACATGGGCCTCCTCGCTGTTCCTCCAACATGCCAGGCTCAGTCCTGCCCCAGGACGTTTGCACGGGCTGCGCCGTCTGCCTGGAATATCCTTCCTCCAGACAGCTCCATGTCTAGCTCCTTCACTCCCTTTGGGTCCTTGCTTAAATATCACCTCTTACGTTAGGCCTCACCCAAGCCCTCTGATTTAAACAGCTTCCCCATCTGGCCCCCAGTCTCCCGCTGCCTTACTTTTCTCTGTAAGTGAATTGTGCAGGTCGGTGTCCTCCCCTCCCCCCCAAATATTATCACCCCCAGGCTGTGTCCCCCATGGCTGGCACACAGCAGGTGCTCAATAAACACTTGTTGAATGAACATATGACTTATCTAATCCACGTCCCCACACAGCCTAACACCTCTCACCCCCAGACATCTACATCCAGGGCCACCCACACAGTTGGGCAGGTTGTGTACTGCACAAAACCACTGGCTGAGGGACCGGTGGGGGCGTTTGGCCTCGGTGCTAGCCAGGGTTGGTCTAACTTGCACAGAGGCCCTAAAAGCACCCACTCCCCAGGGAAATGCTACCCTCCGGCTCCTGCCTCCTGGCCTCCAGTTTGATGCCAGGGTCTAGACATGGTATCGGTATGATCCCATCCCTCTGGCAGGTGGAGAAACTCAGGGCACCAGGTATCACGTGGCAGATCAGGGCTTTGAACGCCGCGGAATGCTCGGCGCTAACCCCGACTCTCTCTTGCTTCCTATAAACACAGTGATGCCTGAGACCTGGCTTGGTTACCTCCAGGGACAGGATGCTCACTCTCTCCCAAGGCAGCCAGTCCTACTGCCCGAGGACCGGGGAGCAGGTAGGATTTTTGGCGAGTGTGTTCAGGCATGTGGGAGCATGGTCAAGCGTGTGCAGGTGTGTGCGCCACCCCTGCCGGCCCCAGGAGCAGAGCCTCGAGGTTAGGAGCAATGGCAGCCGTGAGGGGGCATTGGGTTAGCGCCGCCATGCGTGGGGGCCCGTCTTCTCAGGGAAGCGTGGGCCGGTGTGTGACCAAGGCGCCAAAGCACAGGGGACACCCGGGGCCCACCCCAGGCTTGGAGCCCTGTCCTTGGTCCAGCCGCCACCCCTGTCACCACACCCCCACCAGACACTGCAGAGGGCAGATGTGTGGCACCTCCACCTCGCAGGGCCCCCCAGGACCCAGACCCGGCCCAGATGGCGGCTGGAGGCAGGAGCCGGAGCCTGGGCGCTGACCCACCTGCCCTCATCATGGTGGAGCCTTCAGCTGTCCTCACAGGCGTGTTAGAGACTCGCTTCTCTGCTCGGAGGGTGGAGGGTAGAGAGAGAGATGGGGTCAGAGGAGACAGAAGGTCACGTGGATCCCCCAGCAGACACCCAAACGCACCTGCATCCAGCCCCTCCACATGCGCGGGGACACCCCAGACAACCAGAACCCCCCCAGAGCCCCCAAACACACATGGAACCCCTCCCTAAAAAGAAAACACTCTCCCAGCCCCCATAGTCCATTTCTCATCTCAGCTCAAATGATTTTCACAAATCCCTGAGAGGCCAGTGTGTTTTTTTTTTTTAATTGTTAATTTTTAATTCTGCAGTAAGACAAGGAGACACTCTCCTTATGAATAATTAACACACAACAAATCAGGCCAAAGACACTTGGCCGCCGCCAAGGCCGATCCCGGCAGATGGCTTTCCTTCCAGGCTTTGAATATGGAAACAGACCAGGCTAACACATATTTTAGAAATATAATTCGTATCTGATAAACGTACTATCCTTAATGAGTCCATAACATGTAGAATAAGCTATTACGTTCACATGTAAAAATATTTAATTAAATGTCACCCATACATGTGAGATGTTTTCAAACATGTATTACTGACCTGGAATAACTTGAAGGCGGGTGCATAAGACAGGTCAGAGCTCAAGCTTTTCTTTTTCTTTCGGTCTGTGTCCTGGGCTGCATCTGCATACACGGGACCCCCTTCCTTTTATTTTAATGTGTGTTCTGTTTGTTTTTTGGCCAGTACAGGATCGCACCCTGGACCCTGGTGTTATCAGCACCATGCTCTAACCACTGAGGAAGCCGGCCAGGCCCCCTTCCTCTGAAGCAGCCCCCGGTCCCAGGGGCTTTGCTGCCTGCGGGAGCTCCCGGATTTCTTGTCTCCGTGCCCCATTTTACAGATGCAGAGACTGAGGCCAACCCACCTGCTGAGAACCTCAGAGGGAGTGCACAGAGGCTGGGGTGGCCACGGCCAGGCACCCCGGGGGACGTGGGCCGAGAGGCTGCGCCTCAGCCAGACACGCCCCTCCCTGCCTCAGTTTCCTCATCTGTAATGGCGGGCAGGGGGGATGCTGAAGCCCCTCCACCCCAGGAATGTTGTGAAAATTAAGTGAAGAAGATGAGGAGTATCGGACATAGTTTGGGCCCAAAGTCGGGGCTCAAGGAGAACAGTAATAGTAACGGAATTGCCGCTGTTACTGTTGTTTATTAGCAACAAAAACTGGATTTTTTGGACGCCCCCGCCATCCCCTCTCCGGCCACCAGAGGGCGCCGAGGCCCCACTCGTCCCCTCCAGGAGCCCTACCTTTGGGCGTGCCTGCCGGGGTCTGCAAGACAGAAGGACCAGGTCAGGGGTGCCAGCGCCCGCCCTCCCCCGCTGCCCAGGGTCCCCACCCAGAGTCAGGCCTAAAACTTAGGGGCCGTCCCCAATTCCTTTTCCCCCTCCCTGGAACCCCCTCATCAGCAGGGTCAGTGAAAGGTGCCCAGAGAACTACGGAACCCTCAAAGCCCACATGCTCCAGGAAGCCTGCCCAGCCCGGCCACCCTCCCGACACACGTCCATCTGCCCTGCTGACGAGAGCTCGGTGAGGACAGGGCCCAGGTCTACATCTTCCTGGTGTCTCCAAAGCCAGGCCTTGACAGGGGTCTGCGGGGCTCCAGACCAATGATTCCAGAGGAGCAGGTGGGAGCACGTGGACACACAGCAGGGCTGGTGGCCTTCCAGATGCTGCCCCTGTTCCCACGGGGGCCTGCTGGAGCTCCTCTGGGGTGGGGGTACCCACAAGAGTGGGGGTGGGGAGGAGGCACGTCCCACAGGGCCCTGGAGCCTTGAAGACAACTGAGGTGGTCGGGATACTGCTGAATTTGCATTAATATACTGTGGTGACTGTGAGCCTGGGGTCCAGAGTTACGGGATCCGGTGTTAACACAGCCCGGTGTAGGCATCGGATCCTAGAATCAATGACTCAGTCCAGTAAAGCCCCCTCCTTAGCTGTGTTGCCTTGAACCAGTCTCTCAACCTCTCTGGGCCTGGGTTTTCATCTTCCATCACATGGGTCTGCTGTTCCCACCCGAAAGGGCCATCATGAGGATTAGATTACAGGACACATGCGTCCGTCCCCACGAAAAGTAACCAGAACACTGATCCTAAGAAGGTGGGCTCCCTGCGTCAAGTCTTGTGTGAAGTGTTTATCGTCCGTTCATTCACTAAACCCTTACGACATGGGTGCTTTTATAACTCTCCCATCTTACAGATGGGGAAACCGAGGCCCAGAGAGGCAAAGCAACATGTCCCAGGTCACGCAGCCGGGAAGCGGCCAAGCTGGGGTTCCAATGCAAGCGCCCGTTCACACCATTTGGCTAAGCCGACGTGGAAGGGGTGAGGTCTTGCTCTGGGGCCAGCCCTAGCCCTAACCCTAACCCCCGGCATCTCCTCACCTGCTGTGAATTCAACATCACCTCTGCTTTCTGCTCCTCCTTGGCTGGGCTGGGGGCCGGGGCTGGGGCCCGGGCTGGGCTGGGGACTGCCGTGTTCTCCTTCGCAGTGGCTGGAACTGAACCCCCATTCTCCAGCACCTCAATTTCCTTCTCCAGCCTGGGGAGGGGGCATGTGTGAGTGGGAAGACCCTCACTGGGCATCTCTGTAGACCGGCACTGTTCTGGGAGCTTCGTGTATGACAACTCACTGAATCCTAACAACCCTGTGCCCTTTCACATTTGGGGAAACCAAGGCACAGAGTGAAAAAGTCACACAGCCAGCAAGTGGCAGAGCGAGACTCAAACCAGGGCCGGCTCGGCCACGTCTCTACCACCGGCGTTGTTTACTTCATGGTTGGCTCAAATGAACTCTCAGTTTTTTCCACTCAAATTTATTTAACAGGAAACTTTACCTCTCCAGGGAAACTGGAAAAACCATGTCACTTTCCAAGTATCAGAAGATAGCGGTACCAATAAATTGTACGGAAACAAACCCGGGATATTAAATCCCAGTCTGAGGCTTTGGCAAGGGCTAGAGGCATTGAAGGCAGCTGGGCCCCTGCCGGAGACACACGAGGTGAGCCCAGGTGGGGAGGCTGGGCAGAGCTGGACACCAGCCCCTCCAGGCAACTTCCCAGACCACAGTCAGCCTGGAGGACTTCCTGTAGGAGGTGTCCAGGCAGAAGCACTAAATGGGGAACGTGCAGGAAATGGAGGCCCGAATTGACTCACTTTTGCCACCTGAGAAGTGGGTTGCCCTGGGAGGAAGGAAGCCAAGGCCGCTAAAAGCACTGCGGGGCCCAAGTGAGGTCCCCCAACCCCCCAGGGCTGCACCCAGCAGGGGTGAGGTGCACAGAGGCCCAACTCACCCAGCTTCCATGGCCGGTAAGCCCCACAGACTTTGCACCTGTCCATCCCTTTGCACACAGTTGGTGCTTAATGTTTGTTGGAATGAAGATGCACAAAAGGTTTCCTGTCTCCCCAGTTCATAGGTGGGGAAACTGAGGCCCAGGGAGGTGATAACACTCAGCTCACCCCAAAACTCCAAACCCACCAGAATCCCCTCAGTTGCTGCTGTTAAACACCCCCTACCCAGGGAGGGAACTCACAGCCACACAGACCCCGGACACTTTCTTCCAAACCAAGCAATGTCAGGACTGGGTGTGGGCAGGGACACCCTGGAGGCTCAGACAGAGTCCAGCCCAGCGTCCAGCGTGTAGGGCCCAGCATGCCGTGTGACCCAGCAGCCTCACGCCTCCCGGTCCCTTCCTGGGCCAGAGCAGACACTGAGGAGAGTTTGGGTTGTCACTCCCCCGCCCTGACCCTCCTGCCCTGAGCCTGGGCCTCCCGCCTGCCCAGAAACGCCAGGCCTTTTGTTCCGGCCCCCACAGGGACAGCCACTTTCCCCGTCCTGCCCCTCCCCGGGCTTCCTGCCGGCCCCGCCTGTGGGCAGGGACACCCTGGAGGCTCAGACAGAGTCCAGCCCAGCGTCCAGCGTGTAGGGCCCAGCATGCCGTGTGACCCAGCAGCCTCACGCCTCCCGGTCCCTTCCTGGGCCAGAGCAGACACTGAGGAGAGTTTGGGTTGTCACTCCCCCGCCCTGACCCTCCTGCCCTGAGCCTGGGCCTCCCGCCTGCCCAGAAACGCCAGGCCTTTTGTTCCGGCCCCCACAGGGACAGCCACTTTCCCCGTCCTGCCCCTCCCCGGGCTTCCTGCCGGTCCGGCTGCCTCTGCTCTGGGGCCTCCACGAGCGCCAGCCGGGAAGAGCTCGCAGCTGGGCTGGCGCCAGGAAGCCCTGGGGACAGAGGCCGGCCACTCCCGTCCGCCTGCGCCCTGTCCCTCACACCTGCTCTGGCAGGGGTTTTGGGAGCAGAAAGGGGGACGCTCGGTCCCCAGGTCCGCCAGGGCAGCCCTCTGCCCCCAGCAGCCCAGCCTGGGCGAGGTCAGATGCTGAGGCCGCGGGCCCTGCGCCGCCCACCTGGAGACGGATTCCTCCAGCAGCCGGGCCTTCCGCTCGTCCTCTTGTGTCTGTCTCCGCATGTCCTCGTCCCCCTCCGAGGCTGAGGACGGTGTCCCCTCCAGCAGCCAGCGTTCCCGCAGCGCTTTGGACTGTGGCAGCAGGGGTCCAGGTCAGAGTCGGGTCAAGGCCAGGGTCAGGGGTCAGAGTCCGAGGCCAGGATTGTGATGAGGTCAGGATTGAGGTAGGGGTTGGGTCTGGGTCAGGTGGTCAGGATCGGGATCGGGATCAGGGTCAGAGTCAGGATTGGGAGTGGGTCAAGGTGAGAATTGGGGTCAGAGTCTGGGTCAGGGTTAGAGGCCAGGACTGGGATGGGGTCAGGATTGGGATATGGTTGGGTCAGGGGTCAGGATACGGTCAGGGTTAGGGAGTCAGGATCAGGGTTGGGGTCGGGTCAGGGTGAGGATTGAGGTTAGAGTTGGGGTCAGAGCTGGGAGTCAGGGCCAGGATGGGGTCAGGGTCATAGGTCAGGATTGGGGTTGGGGTTTAGTCAGGGTCAGGGTGAAGATTGGGGTTATGGTCAAGGTCAGGATCAGGGTCAAGGTCAGGGTCAGGGTTAGGCTCAGGATCCAGACTGGGGTCACGGTCAGGGTCAAGGTCAGGCTCAGAGTCAGAGTTGGGGTTATGACCTGATTAAGATTGGGCCTGGGGTCAGGCTCACTCTCAGGGTTGAGGTCAGGCTCAGGGTTGGGGTCAAGGTCAGGGTCAGGATCACGGTTGGGGTCAGGGTCCAGACTGGGGTCAGATTCACTCTCAGGGTCGAGGTTGGGGTCATGGTAAGGTCAAGGTGAGGGTCAGAGTCAGGGTTAAGGTCAGGCATAGGCTCCGGGTTAGAATCAGATCAGGACTGGGGTCGGAGTCAGGCCCTCTTGGGTTTGAGGTCAGCGTCAGGGTCAGGGTCCGCCTCGGGGTCTGGGCCGCCCCTCCATGCCGCCCGTACCTTCAGGTGCTGCAGCTGTCTGCGGTCATCCTCCAGCTGCCGGCGCTTGCTCTCGATCTCTGCCTGCCTCCTCCGTTTCTCCTGGGGGGAGGGTGGTGTGGGGTCAGGGGCCGCGCGACCCCACCGCACCCGCCCGAAGCTGTGCCTGGGTAGATGCTGCTCTTTCTGCCCCTTCGCTTCCTGCTGAAAGACGTGCCCCTGGGCCCCAGGGGCAGGAGGGCAAGTTCATGGAGCAGGGTCTGTAGCCCTCAAGCAGGGCTTCCTAGGTCAGAGGCCACCGAGACAGCATTGGAGCACACCTGTTCTTCCACCCCATGAGGACGGAGGACAAGGCTCTAAGTCAATGCCAGCCTCAGTTTCCCACAGCGGGAGAGAGGGCCAGTGTGGTCTGTGAGAAAAGGACTGAGGGGTCTCTGTATTTATGTCCATCTAGTGTGGAAGGGTCAGTGGGACTCAAGTTTCCCAAGCAAACAACTCGCCACTCACCACGTCCTCATTCCGAGTCTCAGGCTGGGTGTGGGGAGCCCCTGAGACCCCAGGACCCCCAACAGTCACATTGTCCATGGGCTGTGGGGTACTCACCGCGATGGCGTGCAGCCGCTCCTGCTGGGACGTGGTTTCTGCCACCAGGACCCTGGGGATGGGAGGCAGGTCAGGCCTCAGTCCAGCACCCCTGCTTTCAGCTGGACCCCATCCGAATCCCAGCGATTTCACCTCTGAGCCCTGGTTACCCCTCCGTCCTCTCCATCAACCTTGTTACTTCATTAATTCACCCAACAAGCCCTCCTGCCACCCCCTCAGGGCAGGGCAAGGGAGGCCGGGACAGGGCAGGGAGAGGCTCCACCTAGAGACCAGCAAGAGTTTGGGGGGTGGGGCATTGAGGCTGGGCCGCGAGGGATGCATAGGAGTTCACCAGGCATCAAAGGTCAGAGAAGGGTGTTCCAGAAAGAGGCTTATCACCCCCTGGTGCAGACTGGAAGACTGATGTGGACAGCCCACTCCACACCCTCCCACCCATCAAGCATCTATTCTCTAGCCCCGGAAGGGGCACACGGAAGACAAAGGACCCACCAGCCCTACCTCCCAACCCTTGCAAAATCAGTGACACTATGAGAACCGCTGCTCCTCACACGGGCCTCCACTGGAGTCTCCCAGGAGTCCAAAGGCCCAGAGGGGGTGGTGAGCCTCCCCAGCACACACAGCCAAACCGGGGCTCAACCCCAACCTCCTGCTGTCGTCCCCTCACTGTTTAGAGAGACCCTGCCCAGTACGGTTTTAGCCTTAGCCTCCAGGACTGGTGTACAGCAGGTGCTTAATAAATATCAGCGATGCCTGATGCACCTGAAGCCACAGGGTTTCATGCTGTTGAGGTTACGGGGCCTTCCGCAGGGTGCGCAGCAGGCCCAGGAACCTGGAGGATGTGCCACCTCAACCCAAACCCTCGCCTTGTGTGCCCCCAATCCTCGCCAGTCCTGCCAGCCATCCACCACTCACTCGCCTGCTCAGGACAGAACCTGGGAGTCCCGTGATTCCTCCATCCGCCCTCCAGCACCCCTGCCCTTGCCAGTCCAAAAGCTGTGCAGAATGCCCCCCCCCTCATCCCTCTGAGACCCCCAAGTCCAGATCGCCTGGCAGGCAGGGAGAGAAGCTTAGGAAGCCTGATCCCTCCCCTCCCTTGGTCCCCTTCGGCGAGGGGGTCCCCCAAAGCTGCACACAGTAGGTGCTTAGTAAAATGCAGGGACGCATGAAGCCCTGAACCAAGGTTGAGTTTGGGCCTTGGCTTTCCCTACGATGGCATAAGGACAACCTCACACTTCGAGGGCTGCTGTCACAACATAAGGCGGGGGCGGGGTGGAGGTCTCTTGAACTCAAGTGAGGGTTTCTAGATTGTCTGCCCAAATCAGGATAATCCCAGGGCCACTGCCCGCTCTGGACGGCTTGAACCGGGAAGCCCAGTCTCTGGGGGCAGGGCCTGGCGGGAATGGGGTGGGGGGGGGCGCCGGCAGTGGCGGGAGCCAGACCCTCCCCCTCTCCTCCTCCCCCCGCCCTTATCTTCACAGGGACTGAAATTACAGACCATGCTTCGGTTCTACAACCTCCCCCAACACCCCTTGGCCTGGTGTCAGGGCCCAGAGCCACCCCTCACCCTCCGAAGAGCCCCTGTACCTCTTGGAGCCTGACTTTCCCCATCTGCACAAACGAGGAAGCTCAGATGCCCCCAGCTCTAAACCCTCCTGTTACGTCCCCATGCAGTTCAGCAGGGTCACGTATTTATTTTACTATTTATTTTACGTCCCCAGAGCCACACAGCGTGCTGGCCCCACCCCTGAGCGCCTGCCTGGGAGGCTGCTCTGGGGTCAGGACTCAGCCCCACTTGCCCGCCCCACTCAGGTGTGGTTTCCTGGCCTCCCTGAGGCCTGTGATGTTATCCCACTCCCACGCTCTGACAAGTGACCCCAGCCGGCTCCTCCCTTCCTGGCTGGGGGCACCTACCCACTCCCCTGTGCCTCTCAGGGCCTCAGCAGCACTGGACGCACCTCTGTGGCTCCCCTTTTCCCTGCTCAGGGAGGCTGTGTTCATCTGGGTGGAGGTCAGGAAAGGCTCGATCCAGCTTTCTGGCTGAGTTTGGGGTCTGCCCCGTTGCAGGCAGGGTTCCATCTACTCTGCTCCCCACAGGGCCAGCCCACGTTTCTTGCCCACACCCAGGCCTCCACCGTCTCCTGCTGCCTCCCTGGCCCCCCACAGCCTCCTCTCCACCCCACAACCAGAGGCAGCTTCTCAAAGCGAGTCAGACTCTGTCACTCCCCTGCTCTAAAGCCTCCCTGGCTCCCGTCACACCTCGAAAACAGCCCAGCCCCAGCCCCACCCACCTCTGCATCCCGCTGGTGTCCCCAGCTCACTCTGCTGCAGCCACCAGGACCTCCTCCATGTGCACTAAGCTCATTCCTACCTCAGGGCCTTTGCACCTGCTGTTTCCCCGGCCCGGCATGCTCTTCCCAGGGCTGGAAACCAGCTCCAGAGAGAGCAAGACTAGGAGGTGGCCGAGCCGGATGCGAACCACCGCCACCCAGCTCTGGTGACCCATCCAGGACAGAAGCAGAGCTGGGGCAGGGGGTCGACCTAGCAGCTGAGACCCCAGGGCACACAGGGTCATGCTGGGCTGGCAGCCCCATGCCCAGTCCCCACCCCAGTGGGCAGATGGCCATTCAGGCCGGAAATAGGGACACAGGGACGGCTGTGCAGCCGGCCACCCAGCCAAGCTGGAGACAAGGCGGCCAGTGTCCTCACTGGACGGCCTGTCCCTGCCGGCCCGGCCAGAGCAGGGGAAGGTCAGGCAGGCACAGCCAGGAGAGGCGCCGGGACAGAGAATTTCCACCCCTCGCGTCCGTGTCGCTTTCACAGACTGAGGGGCGCAGTCTGCTCTCCCGCCTCTCGCGCCCCTCCCCAGGCCTGGGGACGCCGGAGCCGCCCTGCCCGGGGCGCCGCCGCGGCGGGTGATGGATGGCGGGGCCCGCGGGAGGCGGTCGCCCTGGCAACCGCGCCGTCCCCATGGCAACGCGAGCCCCGGCACGCGGGGGCGGGGCAGCGCTGAGCATCTCCCGCCCCCGGCCTGGGGTCTGCGGCGCTGAGACGCTTCCCAGCCCGGCCTCGGGGGCTGCCTGGAGAGGGCGGGACGGGAGGGGAACGGGTGGGAGGCGGCTTCCCACCCGGGGGGCTTCTCTCCGGGAGGGTCTCGACCTGCCCCTGGAGCAGGGTAGCCGGAGTCAGGCCGAGATAATGCTCAACTTCATAAACCCGAAAAACAAAGCAAAATGGGACCATAAAACAGCAATAAACTAAAGCCACCTCCGCCAGATCCGACTTCCTCCTGCGGGCCAGCATAAGCCCATTTTACAGATGAGGAAACTGAGGCTGGGGGGCAGCGCGGGCTCTAGGCGGCCTTTGGTAAGCGTCCCTGCTCCTGACGGTCCTGCGGGGCATGTGTGAGGCTGGAACCCGGACCCAGGCTGTCGCAGTCGGAGGTGGCGGGTCCCCACCCCGAGGCCTGGCGGGGGTCGTGGTCCGCGGGAAGCAGCGAGCGAGCGGAGGCCGGATGGCAGCAGCCCTCGCTGGCTGTGTGGCCCGGGGCGAGTCCCTCCCGTGTCTGAGCCCGGCTCCGCGGGCCCAGGGGGAGCTGCTCTGGGGGACACGGGCTCCGCCGGCGCCCCACACCCGGGCGCCCGCGTCGCGCGGTTATTTTTACCGCGCTCGGAGCAAATCCGGGCTGGCGTCGCCACGTGGGCGGCCCGGGACCCGCCGAGGGCGTCGCCTGAGAGCGCGTGAGATGATCCCGGCTCCAGCGGATGAGCTAATGGGGCCCAGCCCGACAGGAACCCGGCGGAGGCCTCGGCGTTGCGGGGCGTGGGTTTTTTTGTTAAAGGCCCAGAGAGGTTACGCAAGCGGCCCGAGGTCACCCAGCGGGCAGGGCGGGCCCCGTGGGAGGCGGGAGGGCTGCGTGTGTTGGGGGAGGGTCGTCGCATTCGTCCTTCCAGAGCCCACGCCCGGGCAGCTCTGGCTGCAATAAAGGGGTCCCAACCCGGGCAGGCGCGGAGCCCAGTGCCCGGAACATTCCTGCTGCTAAATGAAAGGAAACAGCTGACAGTGACCTTGGCCTCGGGGGTGGTGGCGGCGGTGGGGAGTCACGGGGACTGGGGGTGGGGTTGGGAGCGGGAGCCCCGGCGGCCCCCTCCCCCACTGGGCGGGGATGGGGGATGGAGACTCGTTTCCGCCCTGCCGGTTCCCGTCCCCCGTGGGACCCTGGAGAGTGTCAGAGCCTCCGTCTCCCTGCCCTGGCCCAAGGCTTCCCAAGCTCTGCCGCCCACCGCCCACCGGTCGAGCCCCTCACCCTTCGCCAGTTCCCTGCCTTCACCTTTCTCTCCTCCACCTCCAAGCTCAGCTCAAGCACAGCCACCTCTTCCAGGAAGCCTTCCTGGGTCTCCTGCCCAGCTGAAAGGAATTCTCCCAGCTCCTCCACACTCAGCACAGCCGGGCTCCCCAGGACTGGTGAAGGCCACTGAGAATTCTAGAAGGTTCAAGGCAGAAAGGCCTCACCCCACGGGGTAAGAGGATGGAGGTCAGAGCAGGCCGCAGACTCAAGGAGCAAACCTGTTGCCTATTAACTTGGGGTGGGGCAGGGGCTGCACCCTGCCCTGGGCCCTCAGCAGGGAGCAGCAGGGAGGAATGAGTGGGGGACTTATCTGGCTTTAGGCTGGGTCTCAAGCAACTCCAGCTGCAGAGACAGGCCCCGAAGACCCCCCTCCAAGCCCTCGCTCCAATCCCATCGCTCCTCAGATATCCCAGGTGTGCTCCTACCCCAGGGCTTTTGCACTGGCTGTGCCCCCTGCCTCGTGCACTGTCCTCAGGTGTCACCTCCTCATTCAGGCCTCCTCTGACCTCACTAAGTTCACCACCTGGCACCCCCAAACGCCCCCTCCCCAGCCCTCACCACCATGAAACACCCTGGTCATTTATTTTTCTCTTGTCTGCCCATGAGAATAGCAACTGTGTGTTTTTTGTCCGTGTCATGTCCCCAGTACACGACAGGTACTCAAAAAATGTTTGCTGGGCCTACAAGTCAATCAGGGTCTTTCCGTTCTCAGAGGAAGCCACCCCCAAAAGTTTCCCCAAAACTCAGCCCTCCCCTTGTCACACGTCTGCCACCCCACGGACCACCTGTCTTATGATCTTTTCTTCTTTTTTAAGAAACTCACCGTCACGACTTACATTTATCTAAAGCAAGACCTGGGCTCCTCACACTGAACAGAGCACAAACCCCAACCACCTCGGGGGTGACTTTAAAAATTAATACATAAAACAACTCAAATGCCCATCAACAGATGAACGGACACACACAGCGCGGCCCGTCCACACACTGGAGCATCACTCAGCCGTGAAAGGAACGAGGCTCTGACACACGCTGCCACGTGGATGGACCTGGAACACGTCACGCTCAGTGACAGACGCCAGACACCAAAGGCCACACAGTGTGTGACTCCATTTACACGAAACGTCAAGAACAGGCCAATCCACAGAGACAGAACGGGGACTCCTGGTTGCTGGGGATTGGGTTGAGGTGTGACTGCTGATGCGGACGGGGTTGCTTTTTGGGGTGATGAGAATGTTCTGGAACTAGACAGTGATGGCTGTACAACTCACTGAATATACTAAAAACCACTGAATTGTGCACTTGAAACAAATGGATTATGTGGTATGTGAACTACATCTCAATAAAGCTGTTAAGGAAATATACATAGTGGAAACACCAACCCTCTCACCAAGGGCCAGGGCTGGGGCTGGGGTCCTACGCATGCCATGGGGGGCGTCCTAAGGCTCTGCTGGCTTTGCCCTGAGACTTTTCATGGTTGGAAGAATTTGAACACAAACTGACAAGGGCATAGGCTTCTCGATCTTTGACAGGTGTTACAAGAACTCCCCCCACCCAAGTATCTGCCCCTCACCCAGCCTTCGAGGCCCCACATCACTGCCCCCACCCGTACACACACCTGTTCGATCACCTGGGCTGGGCTCCCAGGCCTGGCCCCCAACTCTCCACTACCCTTTTATCCACACAGGGCCTCCCGCCTGGCTACGCTCATTTGGTCCTTATCTAAGTGTTTCCCACCACAAGGCCGGGCTTGGGCTCTTCTCCCAATTCCCAGCCTGATCCTGAATCTGTCCCAATGACTGGCTATGACTGTCCCTGAATTCCTACTTGAAATTCCTACTTGGGCTGGAGAAAGCCACCCTGGCCCAATTTCACGATCCTCGGACACCAAGACCGCTGCTCAGTCATCCTTCCTGGACAGAAGGACCCCTGTACAGCATTGCAAAGGACCTTCCTCCCCTGCTCAAACACTGTCCGTGCCTCCCCATGGCTCCCCAGCCTGGCACCCGAGGCCCAGCAGGATCTGGCCCCATGAGCACAAACCAAAGAGCGTTCTCTTCGTGCAACGCTTTCCCGCCTCGGGGCCTTTGCACACACCGGTCTCTCCACCAGGTGTGCCCTCCTGCCTGCCTGGGTAGACCCTTCCCCGCTCTTCAAAGAAGACCCTCCACGAGCTCCCCAGACCTCTCTGATCTTGCATGGGGCTAGGATAGTCAGCAGGGAGCGTTTGCTAAACAAACGGATGACGGGTTTCCTGGATTGAGAAAGGATGGAAGGAAACAGGGTCCCAGACTCCAAAAAAGGTGATGTCATGTTTATTACAACCAGCTTCAAAATCTGAGACTCTTGAGGATGGACCTCGGACCTCACCATGGGGCTGAGGCAGAAACACTGCCCACCCCCGCCCGTGGTACTTACAAGATCCAAGTCCACAAATCCTCCCTGGCCTTGGCTCCCCCCCAAGAGGGGGCTGGGTGGGGTCTTGTGGCCATTCGCCAGATGAGAAAAGTGAAGCCGAGAGGAGGAGATGGGGGCTAGGGGGGCACGTGCAGATGCCCCTGGGGCCAAGATCACTGCTAAGGCCACCTTACGTGTGGCTCAGTAAACAAATCAGGTTGGAAAGCAGATGCCAGAATATCTGATCCCCAGGAACCCCCGCCCCCACCCCACAGCCCCTAAGACACAGGAAGTTACCAAAAAACCTTCCTTCGCCTCACCACCCCAAACCGGGCAGCTTAGACCGTGAGAGCTCGGACCACCCAGGGGCAAATCTCGCCCCATGCCTTTGCAGCTGCGTGGCCTCGGTCATGCCATTTCCTCTGTCTGTGCCTCAGTTTCCCCACCTCACAGGACTGCTCTAAGGATCAGGCGCGTTCCCATTCATCAGGCACTCAGCATGGGGCGCCAGGGAACTGAAGCGGCAAGCGTCGACTAAATGTTAAGTAAACACATTATTCCTGCATTTCTCAAACCCCTTCCCACGTTCCTGCCACCACCCCAGCACCGTCTATTTATTCCTTTTCTTCAAAGCCACTCACAATTTAAGACAAATCCCCTTGTTTTAGAAGGAAACGTTACATTGTTACCAGGACTGAGAAAACCAGAAGCCGCTACAACAAACATCAAAGCAAAACAGGAAGAAAAAAACCAGATACAATGAAAATAAAAGCTTGTTATTAAATTCAATTATCAAGAGGTACTGCTGCCTTTTAACTGGCTCTGCCTCTCATTAAGAAGGGAGATTCGCAAGCATGAAAGGGCGTGAGGACCCAGTTAGCACCCAACTGAGACTTCCCCTTGGAAATGTCCAGGCCTCACAGCAGGGAAGGGATCCGGGAAGGTCCTGACCGTCCAGGGGGTCGGAAGCTCAACTCCATTCCCCATCCCGGGGTTCCAGCCTCGCTTTTACCGAGAACAGGGGTCTGGGAGGTAGCGGCTGCTCCCAGCTAAAACACCCTTATTTCACCAGCCAGACCCTGAAGCTCGCAGGGTGGGGGGTGCCTCATCCATCCAGGGCCACACAAATCCTCCCGCCCAGCCCCTGAGCCCCCTACCCAGGAGCGCCCCCTGACTCTGCCCCCTCAGCATCGGTGGCTCGTGACTGACTAGTTTTTGTTAAATCCCTAATTTCTAATGTTAACGAAAACGAATCCTTAAATGAATGAAACTTCAATTTCCTTAAATTCATTTGTTGAACAAACTTTCCAGCACGTCCAGCATCACTAAAACGCAACCATCTCTGTGTCTCTGACCCCAACCTCAATGGATCCAGAACGAGGTAAACGGTCACGTTCCGCCAGCCGCCACCTCCACGCCTGAAGCCTGCTCTGGCCCCGTGGCAAACTACGGTGAGCAGGGGCCAGGTGTCCAAGATGGGGCAGCACCAGAGGGAGCCTCTCCCCACCCACTGTCAGCCCAAGAACAGGGAGAGAGGCTTTCTCTTGTGGCTGCTGGAGGCCGGTTAATGCCAAGTCCTCTTCCACATCTGCACCCAGAAAAAACGGTGATCAACCCACGGGGGTCTCCTGGGTCCCCTATCTGACCCATGACCAAAAAGCCATGGGGGCAGAGCAGGCAGCACCAGTAGGCCCTCTGTGCGCTGTGTGACCCTGGGGCAGCAGCCGTCCCTCTCTGGGCCTCAGTATCCCCAGTGGGAAAGAAATGGGAGGCGGGAAAGGAAACAATGGGACAGGATCACAATATTCCCTGATTCCTCCCGCCTCATCCCCGGGCAGTCCTCTCCCCACGGCCACACCCTGCCCAGGCCCTGCTGTTGCGAGACGCAGAGGCTCCCCTTGGGCCTGGAGAACAGAAAAACAAGCCCGGGAAACCTGGAACAGGCAAGTCCGGGCCCTGGCTCCCCTGAGCCCCTGGCTGGGCTCCCGGGGCAGGGTGGGGGAGCGGGCCAGGCCTTTGTCTGGGTTTTGAAAAGCAGAGGATACTGGGTGTCCTGCCTTCCTGGAGAGGGAGGGAAAGAGGGAGGCGGCGGCTCCCACCCCAGCAAGGGTGTGGCGGGTCACGCCACGGGTGAATCCCTGGAGGAAAGTTACTGGCTTAGAAAGCACACCCCGTGGAAGGACAGGGCCAGCGACCAGCTGGCCAGGGTGGCTGGGTCTCTGTGTGCAGACCTGGGGCTGGGGTGGGGACCCAGGCCCAGAGCAGGCCTGCTGCTGGCCTCATCGTGAGTGGGCAGGCCCAGGGACCCCTGCCCATGCAGATACACCCCACTCCTCCCAGTGCCCACCTGCCGGAGTGAGGGGTCTGGGGTTCACCCTCACATTGGGACCATGTGCCCGAAATGACCATGCGCACTCATTCGACACCTGCTGTGTACACGTGCCCTCGGGCCACAGCTTCTCACCTGACCCCACACAGACGCAGGCCGCCCACTTGGCATGAAGGGGGCCCAAGGATCCCGATGTGGGCCCGCTGCCCCACTAGGAGTCCCATCTTGGGGACATTTTCCCAGGAGGGAATCAGACTCAAGCTCGCTGTTGGAAAACGCCTGGTCCCCGGTTCTCACATCCACCCCAGACCGGGAATCCTGGAGAGAAGCCCCTTGTCTCCAGCGGTAACTCGGGACAACATCTGGCGGCTTGACCTGGCCTTAGAAGGGGCCTCAGGACACCCCCGGCGTTGGGGAGGGCAGGGCGGAGGGAGCACTGGCCGGTGCGCGAGTCCAGGCCCCGGGAGCCGTGAGCTCCGGCGGTGGCGGCGGCGGCGGCGGCGGGGGGTGAGATCACGGCCGGCCCGGTGCAATGGGGGGTCTCGACCTCCCCGGGCCACCCACGTAATAACTTCGTATAGCATACATTATACGAAGTTATCGTATAACTTCGTATAATGTATGCTAACCTGGCGGTGACCCAGACCGAGTCCCGCCCCTCCCCAGCTCCTGGTCCAGAGGGGACAGCCAGACGGCCAGCAGACGAACGCCGTTCCTGGGGTGCCAGGCGCCGAGGGGGACCCCCGGGGAGCTGCAACGCCCCTCCCCAAGGTCCGGGAGGAGCCATCGTGGAAATATCCGGGCGGAGAGCGGCCGGGTGGAAGGTCCTGCAGATGCAAAGGCCCGGGGGTCCGATGCGGCTGAGCTAGGGGAGCTCCGGAGGCGCGTCCGAGCCCCTGCTGGGTGCCGAGCCTGGTCCCGAGGCTGGACAGGGTTAGGAGTTTAATCTGCCCCACAGCTCCGGTTGTGCCCACACTAAAGGCCCGGTGGCCAGAACTCAGGCTTTGTCCAGAGGGCACAGGGGAGCCACAGCAGGAGAGAGAGACAGGGCCCGTGTTTCCCAACACGTAGACCATTGCCTCGACTTCCCAGATTCTCACAAGAACGCTGCAGCCTCCTGGCCCCAAACACGCACATCCGCTGGGACCCAGTGGAGCAGGACAGAGAGGTTCTTCCAAACTCCTTAGTGTTCTTATGCAAGGGTTGTGCTCAGCAGGTGCTCAATAAATGGGCATCTGTTGAAAGGAACATAACCTTGGATGAGCTTTGGAGAAAAGGATAGGCCAGCCTGGGGAGGGACGTGGACACCTTTTCCTTTATAGACTTTTGCATTTACTATTTAGAACAATGAGATAGGGCCGGCCGGTGGCTCACTGGGAGAGCGTGGTGCTGGCAACACCAAGTCAAGGGTTAAGATCCCCTTACTGGTCATCTTTAAAAAAAAATTAAAAAATAACATTAACAAAAAAATAAAACAATGAGATAAACCAGCACAAGTAAAAGAAACAAGAAGATCCTGAGAAACGGGAAGGCCCTGGGTGCGAATCCCAGTTCCTCCCCATGGGACAGCTGTGTGACACTGAGTCAGTGTCTCCACCTCTCTGAGCCTCACTTTCCCCACCTCCTAGGGCTGCTGGGAGGGTTGACTGAGGGAAGATACTCAAAGGGCTTGGAACAGGGCCCAGCACACACTAGCTCAGGGTTTGGCAAACGTTTTCCGTAAAGGGCCAGAGAGTAAATGTTTTCAGCACTGCGGGCCAGACAGTCTCTGTCGCAAGGACTCTGCTCAGCCATTGCAGGCCAAAAGTAATGAGAGGCATTACACAATGGGTGGGCGTGGCTGTGTGCCAATAAAACTTTATTTACAAAAACAGACAGTGGGCCGGATCTGACCTGAGGATCATAGTTTGCTGCCCCTCCACTAGGCGCTCAGTAAAAGTGAGATGTGGGTAGTTTCCTCCTGCTCTTCAGCCTTTCAGTCCAAAGACATTTATTGAGCACCTAATGTGTGCCTAGCACTGTTAGGCATCAGGGACACAGAAGTCCTGTCCCTGGAAAAATGGTGTTTTTGTCTCCTAAATAAACGATTCATGGTTGGAAGGGTAGTGGATGCATTTTGTTTTATAATATAAGGAAGTGGAGGAGGGTGTGCGGAGGGGGAGGGGTTGCTGGGGACATTTCTCCCATCTCCCCAGCCCCAAACCTCCCAGGGCTCCCAACTCCCCCAGAGAAAAAGCAGAAGTCCTCCCCGCAGATCCCAAGTCCCTGCACAAAAGCAGGTGACATCTGCACCCCAGACCCAGGCACACACCTGCCTGGAGGTGGTGCCACAGGAGCCAGGGAAATGGGGCAAGGTGGGGGATGTCACGGGCCAAAGGAAAGTGGCTCCAGTTGACCTCCCTCCCCGGGGGGTGTCCACACTGCCCACGTCCACCTGCTCAGCTAACCCACAATGCACTGCAGCTCCCGTCCCTGTTCTGGGGGTAGCGGTCTGGCGCCACCTCTCGGCCCCTGCTCCAACCCACCTCTCAGCTCCGGCCACCCCCTGGACATCCTCTGTGGGCCTGGACTCTGCAGAGGACTCACACTGAGCTCTGAGTGGACCCCAACCCCCCCCTCCTCTGTCCCTTAGTCACCTCCCCGCAGCCCTGATTCCAGCTTAGGCCTTGTGCCCCTGCCCCTCTGCAGCCGTCCTGGTCTGCCTACCTCATGTCCCCGCTCCCCTCTCCTTCACCAGAGGCATCCGCCCTGACCTGCCCCTGCTCAGATGCCCTCTATGGCTCCCCAGTGCCCTGCAGCCTGACTCTCAAGGCTGAGCCAAGTCCGGGCAATCCGTCTCTGCCCTCACCTCTCCCGGGTCCGTACCCAACACGGGCTCTCCCTGGGCCTTCCTCTGGGAAGACCCTCCTGCCTTCTCCTTTGGGTTATTGGGTCCCCTTGGGACCCTGTTTTAAAGTCCAGCCCCCTTCCCTGTTCCTCTTGCCTGTCCTGGCTGTGCTTTTCCCACTTAATTCTTCTAACAGACCGTGTCATTGACGTATTGTGTTCCGCATTTCCTTCCCGTCTCTCCCCTGAATTCCACGGGGCCAGGAATCTGCCTGTCTCCCCCACGTCTGTGTCCCTGGCACCCAGAACAGCGCCGGCACACAGGACGCACTCCATGAATGTTCGTGGAACGAATGAGTGAACGAATAAATGCTTTCTCATCGTCTCTGGCCGTGGCGGCTCCCGTGGGAAGGACGGCGACCACGTCCCCAGGCTGACCCGGGCAGGCGGCAGGGGACCCGGGCGGGCGGGGCGGCGGCGGGAAGAGCACGGGTTTGGGTGGTGCTCTGGGCGTTCTCAAGGGGGCACCTTCCATTTCACGAAAGCAGCAGCAGTGTCCTTTGACTACGCACTTCTTGAAGTTAGAGAAATACAGAGAGGAGTTTAAAGCAAAGAGGCACCATTCACAGCAGCTATCATCGCTGACCCCATACGGGGTCCAGGTGTCACCCGAGGTCACGGGGAGAGACCAAGAGGGGGCACGTGTGAGGGGGTCTCTGAGCCTCACACATAAACCCTGGGGGTTTTCTGGGAAGATTTTGAGCTTTTCTCAAATTCTCAGGGACTCTGGATGCCCCCCCGCCCCCGCTTGAACCCTCTGCTGCTGCTCTGGGCTGCAGAGGCCGTTCACCTACTGAGCACCAGCTGTATACCCTGCTAGGGTTGCGGGATGGGCACCAACTGTGTACCCCACTCTGGGCTGGGTAGTGAGCGCCGACTGCATACCCCACTCCGGGCTGGGTAGTGAGTGCCAACTGCATACCCCACTCCGGGCTAGGTAGTGAGCGCCGACTGCATACCCCACTCTGGGGTAGGCAATGAACGCTGACTGCATATCCTACTCTAGTGCAGGTGATGAGCACCGACTGCATACCCAGAGCTGCATTCTCTATACCTATAGCTGTTCAGGTCACAATCCCCGGGGCCTGACTGCACGTGTGCTCCACAGACATCCATCAAGGGAGTGAGCAAGACGTTCCGTGACTCTCATGAGCTGTGTAACCTTGGAAAAGCCACTGGGCTTCTCTGTGCCTCAGTTTCCTCACCTGTCAGGTAGGGATGACAACAGCCCTCGCGTTTTATGGGAGGAAACCAGGTGATGCGTGTATGGGTCAGGGGCTCAGGAATCACTGTTACTGCCCCTGTTGCTGTTATTGGCACCAACGTGACAGGGCAAGGCACACAACTGGCCTGTTTCTCAGAGTGTGTCCAGACAGCCTTGGACCCTGGCCCCCCCCGACACCCCTGTGCCCCCGAGAGGGCCAGTCCCATCAGGCACTGTTGGTCATTGGAAGGTGGAGCCTTGAAGAGGTGATTGGATTGCAGGACCGTGCAGTAGTGAATGGATTATATAACGGTGGTCAGGGGCGTGGTTCTGAGGGCTTTAAAAGAAGGGAGAGTCTGTCTGTCACTCTCTCTTTCTCTCTCTGCTTCCACCATCTTGCAATGTGAGACCCCTGGGTCATTGTCACCATCACCAGATGGACTTTGGACTTCCCAGCCTGAGAAACTGTAAGAATGAATTTCATTTGCTTTATAAATCACCCAGGTTTAGGTATTTTGTTATAAGCAATGGAAACGGACTAATACAGTGCTGTAACCTCACATTTCACATGCCCCCAAAAGGGGTCGAGAAAGGATGAGCCCAGCACAGGAAGGAGTGAATCCTGGAGGAAAGGGCGCACCCCCCCCCCC